TTTTTTCGCGAATTTATTTTGAAGTTTGGTTCCCGACGTTTCGAATGCTTTACAGCAATCATGGTCACGGGAGAGACTAAGGTTTTAATGGTCTCAAAGACATTATATAGTTGTAACAGACAGTGGCGATCCACAAAATTACAAAATGAATTCAAAAAATACAAACACGGCACCAAAGTAACTTTGTTAATTTTAATTTTAGACTTTTTTTCTAATTGTCATAAGTAGTTCATTTGTATAATATGGCAATAAGTGATTTGAAAAACTAAATGATATGTCACTGTGTCTCTCATTCGTCAACCGTTTTCATGTTGTAAAACGTCTTCATTTGAATTTCAGAATACGATCAAAATATGTAGATTCCTTAACGATGTTTTTCTACAATAGCGAGTGATAAATGGCAGTGAGAAAAAACATACTATTTATACTGAAATATAACAAAATCGTTTAAAAAACATTAGGCATTTTAGTAATGCCAAAGTAATAATAAAGTATGTGATGTGTCTTCATTTATCATTAGCTGTTTTTATATTTTTAAGTGGCTATGAAAATAAACCTTATTAACATAAATATTAGTTTATGTATTACTTTTTAAAGTGAAACTTCTTTAGACGCGCCATGAGAGGGAATAAAAGTACTGGCGTTACGATTTTTGTAACGGAAATGGTTGCGCTTGGTTACGGAAGTGAATATAGTCACTTAAAAATAATTTAAACTAATAAATGAATATTTCAAAGAATAAATTAAATAAAAATAGATATTTCTAAAAAAATTCTTCTACTTCTTTCATTTATTTTTAAATGAGCGATGTAATGTTATTGCATGAAATGGATATTGTTAAAAAAATATTTACTTGAAATATATATATATATCTATACTAATATTATAAAGAGGTAAAGTTTGTGATCTTGTGAGTTTGTGAGTTTGTGGGTTTGTGAGTTTGTGAGTTTGTGACGTTGTAGGGGGTAATCTCTGGATCTACTGAACCGATTGTCAAAATTCTTTTACCAATAGAAAGCCACGTTCTTTCTGAGTGTCATAGGCTATATATTAATATGAAAAATGAAAAGGCTTTTTCGTGGTAGTCGGATTTGCAAAGTAAGTCGGAAAAAAAACGGTCGAACGAAAACGTTTCTTACGAACGCTGCCTTAACGATGAGAGATATATGATTATGTTCTAGAGAAAAGTTGTAGAGCTTAAAAATGCCTACAAAAAAGTCAGCGACAGCATATGTCTAACTTTTATATTTAAGTCACAAAAAGTAGTTTTTTATATTAAAAAAATCATTTAGATAGGTAGGTCATGTTTATTGGTCATATTATCAACAATTATGAATTCTTATCAAAATAAGTAAATTTATCGTTTAAAATGTTTAAAACAAAAGAATTTTCCTTTTACTGCATACAATTTGGACAAATGGTTAAAGAGATAATACAACATATTCGTATGTATGGACGAACCCGAGCGAGCTGTTTATCTGTTTTTCTCTTTGTACGGGCTAATCTCCGGATCTATTGGACCTATTTAAATGAAATTTTGCATGGTGGTACCTTATATCCCCCGGGCAACATCTTAGATACTTTTCATCCCGGAAAATTTATGAGTTCCCGTGGGATAGTTAAAAAACTATAACAACTTATACAGCTTAGTACACAAAAACTACTGATTGGATTTTAATGAAACTTTACAATAATATAGTTCATACATGACAAAAACAAATCAGCTAATTTTCATCCCGGAAAATTAAAGTTTCCGTGGGATAGTCAAAAAACTATAGTAACTTATACAGCTTAGTACACAAAAACCACTGATTGGATTTTGATGAAACTTTACAATAATATAGTTCATACAACAGAATAACAAATAGGTAACTGTGTATCCCGGAAAAATGTACTTTTCCCGTGGGATAGATGTTTTTGTTTATATGTAACGTATTATGTACACAACATAGACCCCAAAACAATAGTTATTAAAAAAATTGCCTATTTGTCTGTTTGCCTGTATGTCTGTTTGTCTGTTTTTGTGTGTGCGTTTCACGCGAAAAGTAATGTACCAATTTCAACGAAATTTGGTGAAGTGATAACTTATTCCTCGAGTCAACATTTAGGGTACCTTTTGTATGTATGTATGTATGTATGTATGTTGTATTCAGCCCTTTTTAACATATGCACGGGCCTCCCTTCAGTACGAGGTGGATCAGGCCATAGTCCACCACGCTGGCCAAGTGCGGGTTGGTGGACTTCACATGTCTTTCGAAAACTTGCTAGGTTATGTCAGACATGCAGGTTTTCCTTCACCGTTAAGACAAGTGGTAACTGTGTTAGAAATGATTAGCATATGAAAATATCACTCGGTTTCCCAAGCGAGCGCGTTACCACTGGGATACCACTGCCTAGATACCTTTTACTTAAAGAAAATCTTTCTTTCCCACGGGAAAATACAATAACTGGTTTTATCGAGTCCTCCCTAGAAACCTTCCTCTGACTAAGCCTTAAAACATACATCAAAACAATATACTAAAAAATTGTAGGTCTTGAAAAGTCCTACAGAAAAGTTGTGAATAGTATGTCTATCTTCTAAGTTACACTCGCAATATTTATTCTTATCTATACCTATAATAAAACTTAGTCAAATCGATGTGCGCGTTTCACGCAAAAAGTACTCAACCGATTTTAACTTAATTTTGTATAGTGATAAAACTTAGTGCTCGGGTCAACATTTAGAATACTTTTTACGACAGGCAAATTATTCATTTCCACGGGAAAATACAATAACTGGTTCTATCGAATTGTCCTTAGAAATTTATTGGCTAACGTTGGCTCAACCTTAAGAGATAGATCAAAACATTGTACAAGAAAATGGTAAGTCTTAAAAAAGTATATGTCTATCTCCTAAGGTACACTCGCTATAACTATTTTCATTATTATATATTTCTGTTTTATTATACGTTATTTATTCTATCTGAATATAGGTACATACATGAATAATAAAACTGTAGACGTCGAATGTCTGTACATATATGGTAGAAAAAATTGCTAAAAAACGAGTCAGTTCTCTTCTTACATCCCGTAAGGAGAGAAATAGAACAAATCCAGATTTTTTCAATTTTTTTGTTTCTCGGTCTGTTTGTCTGTTCGTACGGGCTAATCTCCGATACTATTGAACCTATTTAAATGAAATTTGATACTTTTCATTCCGGAAAATTAAAGAGTTCCCGTGGGATAGTTAAAAAATTATAGTAACTTATACAGCTCAGTACACAACAACTTATGCACCTAATTTATTAAAATTTGGCATGCTGATACCTTATATTGCAGCTCAAACAACAGGTTACTTATTTTATTTTTATCCCGGAAAAATGAACGGTTCCCGTGGGATAGATCTGTTTGTGCTTTTCTAGAGGTGAACCCGAGCGAAGCGAGGGTGAGCCGCTAGTATATATATATATATATATATATATATATATATATATATATATATATATATATATATATATATATATATATATATGCATCCCTGTATTATCATTTACTTTATTGAAGTATATTTTAAATCGATAAAATGAGATGTTTTATCAAAAAAACCTGTTTATTACGCCTACATTAACGCTAGCCATAAGCCTCAAAATACATCAAAGCAATATATTAAAAAATTGCAGTTCTTAAAGTGGCCTACACAAATGTCCGCGATAGCATGTATCTCCTAAGGTACACTCACAACTATATTTATCTATTTAAAACTTACCTAGGGACGCACCAAAGCGAAGCGAAGATTAGCGACATACCTACCTTAATTGTATTGTATTTTATTCAGCCCCTTTTAACATCCCAATGCTGGGAATGGATCTCCTTCAATACTGAACAAGATCAGGCCATAGTTAACCACGCTGACCAAGTGGGGGCGGGCTGCACATATCTTTCGAAAACTTGATAGGTTCTCTCGGACATGCAGGTTTCCTCGCGATGTTTTAATACACCATGAGACTAGTGATTAATATGTTGCAAATGATTCGCATATGAAAATATGAGAGGTCGCGGGTCTGGCCCCTAAATTTGAACCCGCTTCACTCAGTTTCACAAACGAGCGCTTTACCACTGGCTACCACATGCCTCGTACATTAATATAATTCTATAATCCACATCATATCGGCATAATACGATTTGGCTAGTGAATTAAATCATTTAAACATTTATAAATGAAACTATATTTAATTAGTAATATCAACATCGCTGATCATATCTCAATAACTTTCAAAATATATGTATAAATCTGTACCTGAGAATCATAACACCGTAACTCCGTTTTTTATGAGTTTGTTTTATTTACAGTATACTATTTTATGTCCTTTTCTATAATGACATAACACTATGTAGCAAAATTTACCATGTAAGTATAACAATCTAGTTAATATAAATAAATAAAAAAACTATATTATTATTATTTTTATTTTTCTAAACAATATTAAATTTTAGTTACTATAAAATAAAAATATAAAAGATCAAAGTAATAACATTTTACTCCTAAAACATAAAATTGTTTTACCAGTTATTTGTTTCTACAATCTTTTTAGTTTTCTATGAAAATGCATGAGCTAAAAGATACTTTAGAGTGTACTTATATTTTTAAGGGATCTCAGTGCGCTGTATAATATTATTTATGTAAGAATATTGTAGCTACAAAACGCTTAAAACTTTAAAATACAGCAAATATCTGTATATATTTTGAAACGCTAAGCGTTCTTGCTTCGCATATATTCACATTACAGTTCACATAATATATTATACTAGCAATACCCGTGACTTCACCCGCGTTTACACTTTCGATCGCTACCAAAATTCACAGCATGACCCGCTAGGCTAATCGAAAGATTGTCTGAAAATTTCATCAAAATCGCTCTAGCTGTTTTGGAGTCCAGTGAGGGGGAGTAGCTAGTTAGACATAAAAATTTATTAGAGATATTGCATTCGTATGCTTAAAAATTATTGTTTATTAAAAATTATTGTTTATTAAAGTAAGCTTTTGTCTTTCCAAGATTTTTATTAACATTTAGATCTGTGTCTGCCACGTCTTTAATATTGGTCGAGTCTATAGCTTTCCCATAGTAAATGTCCTCGGAATACACTTGGTTAGTCTTCCTCATAGTTCCGTGCAACTATAAAAAAATATTATTTTGATAGGTATTTAATGTGTTTAAAACTAAAAGTTAGTAAAATATAAGCTTTTGTTCAGTTTATTAATAATCTAGGGCGTTAGTTGTAGACTATACTGACTATATAAATATACGTCTTTCATTACTGCTTTATACATATTATAAATCATTATATGAAAAAGGTTCTCAGTATATTCAAATATATTTTTAAGATATTTCGATATCATTACTTGAATGGTTCTGAGTATATTCTTGATAAAATTATTAGGTACCTTATCCCATAGTGTTAAGTTGAATCCAAAGTTACAATGGAAGAACTCATGGTGTTGGTCATGGAAAGTGGATGAAGGTTGCCACGGCTGCCACCAGTACGACTCAAATTTAATACCCGAGTGGTCAATGATACCGTGGTAGTAGTTATACATATTTATTACGTAGAATGGCACTGAAATCACAAATATATTATAAAAAATCAATATAATAATGATTGATATAATATTATGTACATTGTATACGTTATTCTTTAAAAAAAGTTGAACTGAAATTAGTAGCAGCAAAATCTTCTATTTTATTATTCGACTTCAAAACATTTAATTTTGGTATTAATGTGTTTTTTTGCATGTATTTTGCGTGATATCTTCCCTAACTGGACTTTGGATTATACTTCAACAGATACACACTTATAAATTTAAAGAAAAAAAAATAACAAAAAAAAACCTGTTAAAAAATATTTTCTAAGTACTTTTCCATTTAACTTTTTACTTGATATGAATCAAGTGTCCATTTACTATTTTTTATAACTTCAATAGACTAAATAAAAATATTTTATATATTATTCAAATTTTATATGGTGGCGTCGCTTACGCCAGTACTTTAATATTCGAGAGAACCAAATAAATTAATAAACAGTATTTATAACATTGTCATGGTGACTATGACTAGAGTTTACATTTGGAATAACGTATTGAAGAAATACTTACACCAGTGTACCGGCATGATGAAGAGCGGAGTGCACATGGTTAGCTGGAAATGCAAAATCTCTACTGGATGTATAGCAGTGGCAGAGAAGGCAGTGGGCTGTTTATATTTGTGATGAATCTTGTGGAATTTACGGTAAAACCATGGAGTGTGGTAGAGACGATGTATGAAATACGTTGTATAGTCCTGAAAACGAAAAAACACATTTTTTTCTTATTAGCCTATTTATATTTACAAATTATTTACAGACAAATAAATGTATATTTTTATAATTTATTGCTAAATGCACCACCTTTGTTTCATGTCAGCACTTGACGCACTCTTTGGGAAACTTTACATAAAAGGTCTGTTTTTTATTATCTACAAAGTAGCTAAGCATGTGTATACTATACCAAATTTTGATATTTTGATACGTCTACATAATATTTTTATGTCTTATTACCAACTCGTTTAAAAGTTAGCATTGTTTCAATTACGTGTATCTAAGAATAGACGTCTATCCTTTGCTTCATCTTTTACCGGCCGTGTCGAAATATCGTCCTATTTGACTTTGACAGTGAAAGGAATAGAGTGCTCTTGTATTTACGTACTTGTGCACAAAAATATTTCCCACGCATATGACTATAAATCAGTAGGTAAGAACTAATCCTTAGATTGTATGTCCACATTAATATTACGCTCCCATATTGTAGGCTATTTTTATATAATTCTTCTTAGAAGTATTTATTTCTGGTTTAAAATACTTACAATATAAATAAAAATGACAGGAAACTGCAAGAAGAACCACAACCAGCCGTATTCATCGAATTGGAAGTATACTGACGACGGGTTTTCATTGAATATATAGCACGCAATGAATGCTGACACGGAGCCTGCCACGAGGAGGGCAATACTACCGTGCTTGATCTCATCGAGTTCATACTCTGATGATAACCACTTAGTAGGCTGTATCTTCCACTCGTGCGCCAAATGTCGTTTCCGAACGTAAAAGTACCACTAAAATAAAAAATGGGGGTCAAATAAATAAATTAATTTTATTGAACACCTGTAAAAAATTGGTCATGATTTTTTTAGCAATCGTATTATTTCTACTATTTAAATTCGTAAAAGAAATCCTGGGTTTGATTCCAAATTTCAATGCAATAATTGTATTGAAACGGAACAAATTCTGCAATATATTAGAGCTGCAGCTGTAATATACTGCAAGATTTCATCTGGGATTAGAAAGTGTTTCTATTGCTGCACTGGTATATTAAAAATCCACATTCTTCGAGAAGTTGAAATCGCGTTTCATCTGCCTTCATACGTCTTCTGTAGCCATACCCATATGTATCATTCAAAGTTAGGTTTAACATCCTGTTTAAGCAGCAGTGTTCTGTGATGGTTCTTACCAAAATGCGTAAGTTACTTCTACTCAGCGCTAGGACATGGTTACTACAAGTATATCTATTGTCGTAGGCTTTGATCAGTGATTTAGAGTGTAAAATCGCTGCTGATTCCATCAAAAGTTAAGTTGCAGTTTCAGAGCATGTATGCATTCATACAGTACTTTTGGAGATTAGCTCGAAAAGCTCAAATCCAGCGCGGCGGACTTTATATATGGTTTATATGTATATAGTGATGCTTACTGTGTTGTTAATTGTAAACGTTGACTAAGTACACCTATTTATAGTAAGGAATTTGGTTGAATAAGCCCATAACTTCAATTTAAGAAAGTAATGTCTATTTTAGTCAATAGATGGCGCTGTTTCCATTCCATACAAACCAGCGTCAATGTTAAAACGCTCGGGTAGTACTTTCTTAGATTTACGCGAATATTTGACATTTTAAATAAAACTATCTTTTCGGATTTTTTCGCGAATTTATTTTGATTTTTGGCTCCCGACGTTTCGAATGCTTTACAGAAATCATGGTCACGGGAAAGACTAAGGTGTTAGATGTTTCAAAGGCCACAAAGATTGAAGTGTTTGTTTCTATATATCTAATGCTTGTAACGAAATACGATAAAAGCTGTTGAAAATAAGTAAGAGGTTTCTAATGAGTTGGAACGAGTCTTGCTTATCATGTTGCCATATTTAATTAAACAATTTAATTCTTGTAAACGATTCAATAATGCTACAAAATTATTCTCTTATCTCTAAAAACTCTCAAGCAATGTGGGCAACGGGTATTATCTTAAAACGTTGAAAATACAAGTCATAATTCACGTGAATTATTTATTTTATAAATCACTGCATGTCATACAAAATACAAAACACGAATAAAAAATGTTCTAATACAAGAGATTTTTTTGAGTAATTAAGTAAATTAAGTGACCAACAAATAAAAAATACTAGATATATGTAAGAAATAATATCTCGATTTAACTATTTTTTACACAAGTTTTATGACCATTTGTGTAGGTCAAATGATATGATAGTGTGACCTCCACAAAGATTGAGTGTCTTTGACCCGTAAATATAACAAGCGTGCAGAATACATGTAAAAAAGATAAGTATGTTTTAATTTACTTGTTGGTCCATCTGTTCGATCGTTTATTTTGAAAATTAAACAAAAAAGTACACCCTCAAATATGTAATATCTAACTCAATGAAATCATAAATTATGAGCTCTTTTGGAAACTAGTGATTCACGTATGATTGGTGTTCTATTTTTTGTAGATTCTGATCTACATTTAGCTAGTTAATAATAATCAAGTTCTAACAAGTAATATTGCTCTAAGATTCAAGTGACAATGACCTTGTCTGTATCTACATATTTTGTTATACTAATTTTTCTGTTAGTATCGTATATAATAATGTAGTTCGGACAGAACGCGAATCACAATATTTCATCATTGTTTTAATGATGTAAAAGTATTGCAAGCGTAATATATTTTACTAGCATTGTCCGCGGCTTCGCCCGCGTTCAGATGACCAAAAACGAAATTCTTAGGTTTTACATATTAGTATACTCTTACATTGCAGTTTTTGTATTGTTTCTCAGAAAGAAGATATTTTCCCGCGGTAAAAAGTATTCTACGAGTATATGTTGACCCGGATAACCAGCTGGCAGCTACTATCATACCAAATTTCATCAAAATCCTTCCAGTGGTTTTTCCATGATGCGGTAACAGACAGACAGACAAAAATTCTGAAAACTATATTCGGCTCTCAGATTCGGCCTCTGTATCGATAATAATGTCTATTTCAATAAGATTTTCCAAAAAATATTTAATGTACAGATTCGGCTCAGTTACAATTTTATTATATGCATAGATAGATATACATACAATTTCTAATACTTTTACCTTTATTTTTTTTTTAAATGTAATAATTTTTAAATATGAAAAAACATTTTCCGTTACATTTTTTAGTTATTGTATGGAATATTTCGACCATGAACGATAACAAAGTATTTAAAATATTCAAAGCATACCTATTTGACTTTATTTAAATACACTTTTACTAATATTTTTAAAATTAAATCAATTAAAAAACCTGTCCATTAAAAGAAATAATAATGAAAATCGCTGAATTGGCCAAGATATTACTAAAAGTTATATCCGAATTGGGTATCTCCTCTTTTAAAGTCGGTCAAAAATTTGAAGACTAAGTTTAGTGGGCCATGAGATAGCTATTACGCACAGAATCAGGACAGTTCCGGTAAGAAAAGCGAGAGAGCGATAAGCTTAATAGTGACTTTTTTAAAAGTCAAGTTATATCTGTCGCAGGGAAATTGTAAGATCTGTTGGAGTATTGTCAATCTTCACCGTTTCTTACAGTATCATGGAACATTTTTTAGGTAAATTATAATTTCCCTAAACACATGTTCAATTGTGAATATTAGCAACAACGTGGCAAGCCTCGTTCTGTTTTGGTTGGTCGATTCTCTGCGATATACTCGTATGAGTCAATTTCTTATTTTCAAGAATTTTCATCTACAAGGAATTCTTGTAAGATACCTACTTTATTAATAATTTTATTAATAAATTTAAATTTCAGTTAAAAGTAAACTAAATTGGTGTGCAAAGTTTCCTTTTATTCCATACTAGCATTGCCCGTGGCTCCACCCACGTTCAGATGACCAAAAATCAAATTCTTAGGTTTTACATATTAGTATACTCTTACAATGCAGTTTTTGTATTTTTTCTCAGAAATGAGACATTTTCCCGCCGTAAAAAGTATCCTATATGTTGACCCGGTAACCAGCTATCACCATCCAAATTTCATCAAAATCCCTCCAGTGGTTTTTCTGTGATGCGGTAACAGACAGACTTCCAAAAAATATTTAATGTACAGATTCGGCTTAGTTACAATTTTATTATATGTATAAGACTAACCTCTAAAACGTACCTAGGGACGAACCCGAGCGAAGCGAGAGTCAGTTGCTAGTAATTAATAAAGACTTACATGCAAAAACCCGCTTAGAGTGAAGTACATAATAAACGACACGGCATGTGCACATAGGAAAATAAGAGTAAAGTGCTCCATCTTCAAGTTTTTAGATGTGAATAATTTGTAGATCTCATCTGAGTTCATCCTTCGCTCGCCCTGAGTGTGTCCAGAGATTTGCTTGAAGGCTGTCACAAGTATTATCACCCATTCTCCTGGAAATATAAAAAAGGTAAAAATTTGACTATACCATATATTATAAAAACGTGTATACAATATACATATCTATATACATTTTTATAATATTATATGAGCAATTCTTGTATGTTGTATATTTGTTTTGCGTATCTCGAAAACAGCTCTAAAATTTGGATCAAATATGGTGGCTAAGCTAGTATATAGTTTTTTCTGAAAAAACGTAATTTTACATAAAGATAAAAATATTTTGTATAACTAATTTTAAGAGTTTTTTTCTATCTGCTCTCATGCTGTCAATGTCATATAGCGCCATCTCGTAATTTTTTGTGGTAGTTGCATTATCATATGACTGCGCGACTAGAACGAGATTGACTTGATGATTTAGATATAATATTCACATAATAAAAATATATAATATAGTTCGAAAGAAGCTACAATCTTTTAACTAAAGCAATAGTAAATATTGCCGATTGAACTTTTAGATCATAAATACCAAAAATAGATAAAAAATAACAATAATTGCAGAAGTGAATAAACTGTGCCGAATGTCTACTTCCTACGAAATGGATAAAGGCACCCCCGAGGCTACATGAGGCAAGGGGGTATACGATCTGCTAAGGGTTCTTGAAGACAATCATCAAACAGTAACGTACGAATTTTGTTCCTAAATCTTCAAAACAACATACATTCTCGTAAGGCACACTAAGAATCTATATAAATCTAACTACACCAATAATATTAAAAGTGACAATTTAGAAATATGGAGTTTAATCATAAAATAAAAGTATTTAAATAAAACAAACCTCTTAAAGTAGCGCCAAATGTGATGAGACCAAGCGTTGCGACTAAAGATCTTAAAAAAACAGGCAATTTGTCAAAAAGCTTCTCTAAGGGCTTAGAGTGTCTTTCAATAAATTTTACTACTTCTGTTAGAGGGTCCCAGGATGTAGGTTCACACTCTTCTGTCTCCTTTATTTCTTCTAACGTCTCACTCGTATTTCTATGCCTGATCATCATTCTGAAAACAATATTGTGAGTTAAGTAGCTTCTTGATATATTATCTATACTATAATAAAACAGTAGAAGTCGAATGTCTGTACATAGCAAAAAAATGCTAAAAAATGAGTCAGGGGGATGTAAGAAGACAAATAGAACAAATCCAGATTTTTTCTAATTTTTTGTTTCTCTGTCTGTTTGTCTGTTTGAACGGGCTAATCTCCTAAACTATTGGACCGATTAAAACGAAATTTTGCATGGTCGTACCTTATATCCTCTGTCAACATGTAAGATACTTTTCATTCCGGAAAATTAAAGAGTTTCCGTGGGATAGTTAAAGAACTATAGTAACTTATACAGCTTAGTACACAACAACTTAATATGCACCTAATTTAGTAAAATTTGGCATTCTGATAGCTTATGTTGCCGGTCAAACAACAGGTTACTTTTCATCCCTGAAAAATGAACGGTTTCCGTGAGATAGATCTGTTTTTGTTTTTTTTATAACGTATTATGTACACAATATAGACCCCAAAACAATGGTTATTAAAAAAATTGTCTGTTTGTCTGCTTGCCCGTATGTCTGTTTGTCAGTTTGTATGTTTGTATGGGCTAATATCCGAAACTGTTAGACTGATTTAAATGAAATTTTGCATGGTGGTACCTTATATCCCCGGTCAACATCTTAGATACTTTTCATCCCAGAAAATTAAAGAGTTCCCGTGGGATAGTTAAAAAACTATAGTATCTTATACAGCTTAGTACACCACAACTTATGTACCTAATTTAATAAAATTTAATATTCTGATACCTTATATTACCGGTCAAACAACAGGTTATTTTTCATCCCGGAAAAATGAACGGTTCCCGTGAGAACTAATAGATCTCTATTAGTATTCTTCTAGAGGCGAACCCGAACGAAGCGAGGGTGAGCCGCTATTATTAAATATTTGCCACAGTTATTCTAGTTTTATTACTTGAAAAGTACACTATGTGATTTAAATTAATCTTTGAGATTAAGAGTTTAAAAATCTTAACGAAATATGGACGCTGTTAAGATCTGCTGGAGTAAAATCTGAATTAACATCAATCCTATATTTTAGAAACATTGTAGTAAATTATTTCATGTAAGAAGAAATGGTTTCAGAAATAATTATCTGTCTTTAAATATAGTAAGGCTTATTATTTTAAAAGAATCCAATTATATAACTTTAATTGTATTATCGCAATATCAAGTCTTATAGTAATACTAATAAAAGATTCACATAATTTTTCTAACATAATAATATAAATATTATACAAAAATGATTTACCTAAGACACTATTCATCACTTATAGCACTTAAATATTAAAACGACTTATACTTAAACTTTACAATGTACTATTAAATAATTAATCAGAGCTAAGGAAACAAAAATATAAGATGTAAAAAAAAGCTAGTCTTGCAACGCAATTCTTCTAGCGAGATCGAATATAAAACCAAGTCGGCTAATTTATAGTTAATGTATAGTTACAGTACCTATCAATGGTCCCCCCCCCCCCAATGTGCATTCACCTAGTCGTGGTGGTGGTGGGGGAAGGGGGGTGTCCGGCAATGCAGCCGGGCGCGAAGCCAAGAATCGCACGGAGAGGTAGTCCACTTCGGTGGGTGGTGTACCAGTACTTTTCTGATAGCAGAATGGACTGTGGAGCAGACCCATGGTTGCTGTGGTTGGCAGATCTGCCGTCAGGGTGTCGTAGTTGAATGCGTAAGCGATCCTGCGACGCCCCATTAAGACCGGGGAGGTTTTGTTGGGTTTTAGTGGGTGGTATTGGCTTTTCTAACATTTGCATAAGTAAATTAAAAAAAAACAAGTTGCATAAGTAACTTTGTAATCGCATACATCGCATATCTATTTCTATAGGATTACAAACTTATGCAGTTTGTTGTATGTCTAGAAAACGGGACTGGAATTGCGGGATGTTTTAGTTTTTCCTTGCATTGTAATGCAATTTGTTATTTTATTAGTTTCCAATAGGTAATAAACTAATTACCAAACTCTAATGGTAATAAACTCTAATGGTGTTCAAAATTTGTAGTAAAAAGTACTGTGTCTTACATTTTTGTGATCGGACAGTGAGTCAGTGACGAAATTAACGATCTTTGGACTGCAATACTTCTTAAACTGCGGACTTAAATTAAATGTAATGTAGGAATATACACAGTCATATTAAGTTCTTTTAGTTTCTGAAAATTCAAGCTTTACCTACAACGTAGTTACAAGGGGGTCGAAAATGTCCTGAATGGCTTCGAGAAAAGGATAGTACGTCTGTGCCTTTTTTGCTGGACTTGGCGGGGGTACTACCGTGCCCCCAGATTCTGATAACACATTGACTTGAGATTGTGGCTACTGAATGTACCTATTCACTATATTATTCGTAATTTTTTGTACTTATTATCTCTGTAGCAAAATATACAGTACTTTTTACTGTACTGTTTAATTATCTGTGAATTATGACAAACTCAATTTAGTAATTATTTTTGTTGTGGACCATTCCACGCTTTTATTTAACTTTTTTAACAATATAATAACAATTTAGAGTATAAATTAACGTTGGCATTATTTCTCTAGCATTTTCTAGGAACTTTTAATATTTTAGTTAAATATACAATGTAGACACGTAATAAAAAATAATAAAACTAGAATAAGTAATTTACTCTTCACTTACTTATTCTTCACTAGAATGATTATTTAACATTTAATAATTCTAAAAGGTTTTTTCCAATTCAATTTTAAAGAAATTCAATTTCTTTTTAATCAATAATAATAATAAATAGTGCAAAAGACACCTACGATACATGGACATACAAGATATTACCTATGCAAAGAAGAATACAGGCGTAGTTACGCCTTGTATGCTAAATATATTTTCATTAATTTAATATGATTATAATAGAAGAACTAAACATTGTCATGTATGTCTAAATACCTAAATAGTAATAACTAGCGTTTATTTATAATCTAGCGACATACCCTCACTTCGCTTAGGGTTTACTTCTAAACAAAAACAAGTTTCCCCCATGGGAACCGTATATTTATCCGGGATAAAAAGTAACCTATGTGCTATTCTAGACTATCTCTCACAAACCTTCACAATATTATAATATTAGTAGGTAATAGGTATAGATCATTTTGATGAGACGCCAGAATGGCAGTTATGTATGTATATTCCTAGCATAACAGTGACCTTGGATTCGTAATAGTATTATTCCTAGATCCTTTCGATGAAATAAGTACAAAACTTTACGATTCCTTATAGTAGTGGAAATTTCTAATTAATACGAAATAAAATATAGGTATTTAATAGCGAACTTATAAATATTGGAGGGATGAGAAGTGTCATCGGCTTTTATTCAGTGACTTGACAGGGGTACCTGTTAGATATAAGTATATTGCAAGGGCGACACATAACAATAGAGAACTGCTATTTTTAAATATTAAACAGAAAACCATGAATGCCTATTTTTTACTGACTTCTGAAAAAGAGGGGCATAAAAATACCGCATGCTGATAACTTCATTTAGTATAATTACTAAAAAGTCTGCACGAAGTGAAATAATTTGAAGAGCTTTTGTTTAATAAGTGAAACCTTGACTACTTAGTACTAACTACCTTGAAATGTAAATGAGCGTTTAAAAAAAATAAAAAATTCACGCAAAAAAATTTCCTACGGATTTTTTTTCTTCCAAGAGTGTTGATGATACAATATTTTCTCAATATTTTCTATTAATATTCAATAACATGAAAAACATGTTTATGATTAGTGGCCAGCTTACCCGAAAAAAAAACATTTCTAAATTTTTCACATCATTCTTGACTTAGGCACGTGCAATTTTTTATAAATAATATTGTTATAAATAAATTTCAGGAGTCTTATAGATAATTCTACAGAACTTGGCTCTCATTTTCATATTTGTGTTTTTGATAGGAGTGCTTTTACACATTTTAGTTTAAAAACTAGGCTTTTACTAGTAGTCGTGACTGGGAATAACATAGGAGTCTTACAATTAAGTATGATCCTAACCTAAAACAATTTTACTCAATTTTAAGTAGAAAAGCAGACTGGTGAGTATCTGTTGAGTCTGATTAGTTTCATGGGTTAGAGTTAGTACTCAAGTAATAATTCTAATCCTTGTAATATCAATGCATTAAATAATATCAGGTAAACTTAAACAATGTTCAAATTAATGAAAAATCCCGTCTATTGCTGAACAACGGTAGTTCGGTGAATTTTATAACGTAGAGCTTATCGGAGAAACTGGGTTTGTCCCTAAGCGATGCGAGCACCAAGGTAACAGGTTTAAATAATCACATTATACCTACCAGTACACATTTTTGTCACCTCTCAATAGAGTCTTCATGCTATGCTTTTACTGTCGATATCGAGTGTCATTTTTTGCCTGAAATTTGAAGCTTTTATCGTCTTCATTTGTATGCATCAAATATGTCCCTATTCATTCAGGTCTTAAGTTAGCAGACCCGAACTATAACGTTTCGTCCAGCGTAGACATCCTGGTGTGGGCAGAAATATTCTGGAGTATCTTATGCAAAAACTCAACAAACCTACCTTCCCATTATTGCCACCATTTCAGCGTCACTCCTAATTTACTAACTTAAAAGAACGTCATAATATAGTGTATGTGTGAGAAAGTGGGAAGAAGTAATTTTCCATCTAACTCGGTGCGGTATTATTTGCAACTAATAAACATATTGATCAATATTTTTTAGTAAATCTTTTATGTGGTAAATTTTATGATGTTCCGTTTTTTTTATTATATGCCAAAAGTTTTACATTAGTAGTTTTTGATTAGTAACAATCGTAACCGTTTTTAATTATCTATATACTTATACGAGTAAATAGGACAATACAAAACAGGTCAGTACCTTTGTCTCCTCTGTTTGTAAACCAATTTTTTTTTGTCTCGTATCTATTGACGAGCTTAAGATTTAATTCGATTCGTTTCTGTTTCCCTCAAATCGGCAATATCTACAGTATACCACGCCTTTCTCTTTATGATTAATAACTTCTTAATGATTAATAACAAGCTGAAACTTCACGCGTAGCTTTGTTTTGACGAGATGCCCAACTTTTCTTTCTAAGAAAGTTTGATAGTGGTAGATACAATTGTGGATCGATACAGAACATGTCGAAATGGTAATTGTCTAAAATTTATTACTAACAGATTGTTTTACGATATAATCTTATTTTATAAACATTTATTATTATATGCAATATTATATTATGTAACATTAATAACCGGCTAATTTTACTAGTATTTATTATTAAAAATATGCATAATTGAATGGTCACATCGTCCTACAAATAAAATGGTAGGATTTTTCAGACCTACGCTCGGACACTGTAGAATTACATTGTGGTTGAATATCGACAATTTATCACCACTGGGCGGAACTAGTAACACTGTAAAGTGACAGTACTTAATGACATATGAAAATTAAACGAAATCAAGAATAAGAATGAGAACTGTATTATTTCATGATTTTACTATTAGCGCGCACCAAAACGTGTTTAAGAAAAACAAAAAAAAAAGATTAAAAAAATATATTTGGCTTATCACATAATTATTTTACTTACATTCTTTTTGGTATAAACAACTAATTTACAATAAAATCTCTATGCGCCCTAAATATTTACAGCCACTGTTCGCTAAAAACAGAGCTGTTTTGGAAAAAGGGCAAACAACACGTATCTACTTTTGAATCTATATCATCCAACATTAAACAAGAATATACTAAATTATATATGAAATTCTGTATAAATCACTCTTTATTTGAGTTAGATTTAACCTTTTCAACGTATTCCTTGATATCCGGATCTTTCTCCATCAGCTTTAAGGCCTCAGGTGAGTCAATTGGAGGGGCTTCCCCGTGGTATGTCTCTTCAGTGTATACACGGTCCACCTTCCTTGTAGTACCATGCCACTGAAAATAGATATTTTATTTATATACAAAAAATAACGTTTAGGAATATTTTCTACTATAATCTTAAATCATAATATAACCGGTTTTTTACGTTCTTCTATTAAATTTCATATTATTATACTTTGATTGAACTTAACTATAAACAATATTTCAACTATTCAGGTATTTTATACTATAAAGACTACCTTCGGCTTTTATACTATAAATATTACCTGGGCTACCACTACCTCAAAAGGCTTGGAAAACCAACTGAAGTGAGGTCCAAACCCGGGTCTCGCACCTTTGATTTTTTCATGTGCAAATCATTTTCATACATGATTACCACTTATCTTACGGTGAAGGAGAACATCATGTCTTATAAAACTTAGCAAGTTTTAGAAAGATATGTATAGACCGTCATCTCGCACTTGGCCCTCATATTGAAGGGAGTCTCATACTTAGCAGTGGGATGTTAAAAAGGGCTAAATACAAAGATTACCTTATCCCATAGTGACATATTGAATCCAAAATTGCAATGGAAGAACTCATGGTGTTGGTCATGGAAGGAGGGAGGGGGCTGCCATGGCTGCCACCAATGTGCTTCAAAGTTGATGCCCGAGTGGTCGATGATACCGTGGTAGTAGTTGTATAAAACTATTGCGTAGTATGGGACTGCAAAATTATAATTGTAAATTGAAAGTTTGTATGTAGATATAAAACTCATCGTACCTATGTATATACATATATGTATTAATAATATATAGTCTATCTTTTCTATTTTAACCGTTAGTATAATTAATAACTATACTCTGTCTATCTACTGATTGGCAAATATTATTATTTTCGTATATACAGAAGGAAACAACTTCAAATATGTATTAGTAAATACATTTATTTAAGCAACTTAGGTAATGTGTAAACGAATGTAGATTGTAATAATAAATGATAGTCTTTAAATTTCTTTAAAAGGTACCCTCCTTCTGACTTTAGTTTAATGTTTTCCTGATCACTTACTTCGCATTGTTCACACCCAAACTTGAAACCCATACTAATGACTCACCCTAGCTTCGCTGGGTGATAAAATAAAAACAAATCTATCCCACGGGTACCGTATATTTTCCGAGATAAAAATGCTATAATCTATTTCTGCGCCAAACATCCAGATCCGTTTAGCCGTTTTGGCCGTATTGGGTTACAAACATCGATCCAAACTTTCGCATTTATATAGTAGTAAGATTAAAACAAGCTAATAGCTCGCACGCACCCAAGTGAAGTGAGGGGAACTGGCTAGTATATAGTAATGTAGTAAAAACTTACACCAATGTACAGGTATAACGAATAGAGGCAGACTCATAGTTAATTGCAAATGCAACAGTTCCACCGGATGGATAGCAGTGACAGAGAAGGCTGTTGGTTGTTTGTATTTGTGGTGCATCTTGTGGAAATGACGGTAGAACCATGGAGTGTGGTAAAGTCGATGTAAGATATATATTGTATAGTCCTGAAATGTAATAAAAGTTATATTTCACTTTGAAAGTGCCATTACTCGTCCTAAAATTATTTTTTTATTTAAAATATATGGGTCCATATTTTATTTAAAATATAAGTACCCAAACTTATTTTTTAAAGTAAGATTCATGTTCATATAATATTTTCATAATAATTGCTAACGTTATCGGGTAGCATACATATACGTATTAAATATTATTTTTTTTGAAGTCGTTCTATAAGAAGTAATGAATAATTAGATATTGTTACTAAAAATGTTATAATTCATTAATATTTAGACACGGTTATGTTTATATAACATTACAGTGGTATAGATTTGTCAGGGATGAGATATTTTCCCGCAGTTAAAAGGTATGTAAATGTGTTGGCCCGGATAGCCAGCTATCATCATACCAAATTTTATAAAATCTGTCCAGTAGTTTTCTCGTGATGCGTTTTCAGACAGACAAAAATTTTGAAAACTTTAGATTCGGTCTTTGTATCGCTAATAATGACTATTTCAATGAGATTTTCCAAAAAAATATTTAATGTACAGATTCGACTCACAATTTTATAATATGTATATAGATATACAAACAAAATAATGTATTTAGCAAATGCATTAAACAACTACGGTACGGTATTTTAAATATTTTATAAAATTCGGTACATAATAGCGAGTTAATGCAGTTTGGATAATAAACTATTTGAACAGTATATAAATAAAATTAACTCTAATTAATTAGCAATGTCAATATCATCGATTTAATCTCAGCGACCAAATATGAATAGTAATTTAATAACATATTATGATTTAATACAGTATTTCATTGTGGATAATGCAAGAGAAGAAATATTATAATTTTATTGATGTTAACACTTTTTTTGACTGAATTTAAAATGAAGGTATTCTATTTTTTGTGTTAAGTATTTGTTTTTTGCGGTGAGGGTTGGCGGACTTCACATGTCTTTTGAAAACTTGGGTTCTCTCAGACGTGCAGGTTTCCTCACGGTGTTTTCTTCACCGTTAGACAAGTGGTAATCATGTTGGAAATGATTCGGACATGAAAATATCAGATGTGTGAGACCCTGAATTTGAAGCCACTTCACTCGGTTTCCCAAGCGAGCGCGTTATCACTTAGCAAGTTTTTGAAAGATATGGGTAGTCCACCAACCTGAATACGACTTGATTACGAACTTTAAAAAGGGCTAAATACAATAAAAGTTAAAAAAATCTTACCATATAAATAAACATAACAGGAAACTGTAAAACGAACCATAACCATCCATACTCATCAAATTGGTAATACACTGTTGATGGATTTTCGTTGTAGATATAACATCCGAGGAATGCTGAAAAAGAATTGGTGATGATGAGGGAGACCACCCCGAATATTATCTCATGACGTTCTAATTCTGGTGATAGCCACTTATTTGGTTGGATCTTCCATTCGTGTGCCAAATGCCGCCTCCGGTAGTAGTAGTACCACTGGAATGAAAGTTCACACATCTTATACAGATTAGCAAAACACCAATCAATGAATGAAGATGAATATATAAATTAGAATTAATGTAAGAGAAATAAATAGATCTTTCTAAGATCACATTTTTTATTTTAAACCAATATTATTTTTTCGATCGTAAGTACCAATTTATGACAGCTGGTTCAATATTCTTATGTATTTATTATTAAAATCTACAGGAGTCTTAAATGTTTTATACTATCCTACACTAGCGTACGCCTGCCAAAGTGTACTTTGTATTTAAAACCCATAAAATTTCCTTCATTTCCGTTACTCTGTGGGAACGATATGCTTTTCCCAGATTAAATGCCTCTCTTACTCTAAGTCGAATTATCAACTCGCTTAAAGTCAGATTATAATCGATTTAGCCTTTCAGTAAGTAAGCGGGTAAAACAAAAAAAATCTTTCCCAACACCTAACAATTTCATAAATATTATTTACTGTTACGATTAAAAATTATCATAGTTCTAAAACAAAAATTATCTTACTTTATCTACGCGTGTTTATATTAAATTCTAACGGGGTCAAATTTTTGTACATTAAATAAATAGCAAATAACTTGTTGTTGGATCATGTTAAATAAATAGGTATAGTTAATCGTAAGTAAAAGAAGTCAAAGGGTCAAATATAGAGTTATAAGGATTTTATCAGTTTACTAGCATTGCCCGCGGCTCCGCCCGCGTTCAGATGACCATAAATCAAATTCGTAGGTTTTACATATTAGTATACTCTTACATTGCAGTTTTTGTATTTTTTCTCAGAAATGAGACATTTTCCCGCGGTAAAAAGTATCCTATATGTTGACCCGGATAACCATCTATCTCCATACCTCAAAATCCCTCCACTGATTTTTCTGTGATGCGGTAACAGACAGACAGACAAAAATTCTAAAAACTGTAGATTTGGCCTTTGTATCGATAACAATGTTTATTTCAATAAGATTCGGCTTAGTTACAATTTTATTATATGTATAGAATCGGAAATCTCTTGATAGGGATCTGGACGAATTTCTATTATGCTTTTGTACCGCACAAGTTTGAGTATTGAATATTTAATCTTAATACACATAAATAAAATTGAAGTTCTATTTGTAATGTCTAAATAGCAGCTTTTTACTAAATTCATATGAAATTATATAGGTACTGCCCAATAATGACTTAGATATTAGATAAGATAAAAAGTAAAACTAAACTCAGTACCTAACTGTGCTTCTTGACTTACTATATGTAGTTTGTGAATCTAAATAAACATTAAACATATATCAATTAATATTTTATGCACGCTATTTTATTTGTTTTTACCTAAAAATACTTATTTTTTATATCGAACGTCATTTTATAATAGATTTTTAAGGATAGCAATTGCCGAAATACATTTTGTAAATGTTAGTAAGCCAGGGGATTGGTTAAAATAAGAATAATGTTATCCTGGCTGATTTAAGACACGGCGGCCAATCTTACTGAGACTAGCCAGATGCGCAGGAGACATTATAGTGCTCAAGACATGTACGCGCAGACACAAGTGCACTCTATATTCCTTTTACTCTCAAAGTCATAGTGGACGATACTTCTACACGACCGGTGAGAGTGTCGGCGCAGGATCGACGCGACACGTGCTCTCCGAGGCACGGGAGTGCAACACACCAACTTCGCAACTCCGATTTACTACTGAGAAAATATCCTAACAGAAAACTCAGCAATCAAACTTGGCCCGACCTGGTACTCGAACCCAGGACCTCAGCATCTGCAGCAGTACATACTAGCCACTAGACTACCGAGGGAGTAAAAGACCTGGAAAAGCTTTAACAATTGTCTGAATGTAGATAATGGAGTAACGTGACTTGCTGTGTTATCTGGCATTAAGCTCTAATTTAGTTTTGTCAAACGAAACTACTCGTATTCAATAAAGGCTGCTTACATTTATTCTACGAATTAAGCTATCATAGTTACGAGAAAAATATTATGTATAATCTATAAATGTTCGGAATGAGTTCATCGGTCGAAAATAAAATGATTTCGGTACATTCATACTAAGATTTTACTTAACGTTCTCATTATAATCCACTATTTATACTTTGCCCAGTGGTCATGAACATTTAAGGAAAATAGTACAGTAGTAATTAAGTGTGCATTTGTTTTGTACATATAATTAAGTATATGTGTAATTAGTTTTTACCAAATAGACATTTGAAGTAATTCTTAGCAACTTTTTATCCTAAATAACTTATAAACATATAAGTTTTATATATTTTTGTGATCGCCTCTTAAAAACCTTTGAAATTCGCCATTTTAATTTTTAGCTATTTCTTTATAGCTTATGACACTCGCGTTATCAATACGAATCCAACGACATATGAATTATCAAAATCGGTCCACGCGTTTGGTCTCTAAAACGCCACAGGAACATACATACATACATGCATGCATACATACACACATACATGTATGTTCATACATAGACTGATAAACACATTATTCTCCTTTGCATCGCTTCTGGTAATAGAAATAGGAACTGTTTCCAAAAAGTTTATATTGATAACACTAAACCTTGTCTTTATACTACTAAACAAAAAAAAAATTGGTTGTCAAAAGAAGAAGACAAAAAGTACAAAACTTTTTTGTTCTATCATATAATATAAACCTAAATAAAATAGAAATCACTATTTATGATTTTGAAATAGCCCCCCTCTCAATATGAGACTAAAAAGGATAACTTATTGGCATGATTCCATAGCTCATGTGGCTAACTCACGCTAAACATTAACATAAAAACTATAATTTAAGAAATCTTACTAATATTACTAGTATATATACTGCCCCGGTGGTGTAGTGGCTAGTATGTACAGCTGCACACTTGCAGGTTCTGGGTTCGAGTCCCGGGTCGGGCCAAGTTTAGTAATTGAGTCTTTCTGTATAGTAAGCCTCAGTAACAGCCCGGAGTTGGGAAGTTGGCGGTGTTTCACCCCCGTGCCTCGGAGAGCACGTAAAACCGTCGGTACTGCGCCTTAACTCTCACTGGTCGTGTTGAGCAGTCGTCCCCACCGGAGTATGAGAGTAACAGGAATAGAGAGTACAAGTTGAGTTATTTAACATTTTGCTTGCCAAATTACGTTTAAAAAAGTTGTCTACATTTTTGTGACCATTGTTTCGTTTTAGAACAAAAAATGTCAGAAGTGGGTCTAAAATTTAGGGTGTAAATTATAAATGGACGCACGTACCACCACAGGATTGGACATAGGCACAGGTCAAATACACACCGCTCATTTTGGGCTTCACCGCAGTCGGGTAAAAAGCTATTGTTATTATTAAATTAAATATCTTTTCACAACAATTTGCAGATGTTACAAAACTAAGCTCTTATCACTCGCAACGGCCACGTAATGCGGGCAACGGCCAACGAGTATAATCTTAAAGCGTCATCAGTAAAGTCATAGAATACATATCAAATTTCTATTTCACATAAACTATCAGATAAGTGGCTTTGAATAAGATATTCAAAACCATATATATAATACGTTTAGGGGAAAGATTTTTTGTAGATTATGGCTTTTTCTACAGAACTATTCTGTATGTTATCTATACATACTCGTAAAATTAATTTCTCGGTGGTATAGTGTCTAGCATGTACGGCTGCATGGGTATCCAATACCATACCTCCGGGTGGAGGTTCTGCTTTCGAGTCCCGGGATGAGTCAGGTTTATTTATTGATCCCCCTCGATATGTGTTCACCTTGTTGGTCCCACCCTTGTTGTGGTTGTTGTCTCACTACCATCTGGCAACACAGCCGGGTATGAAGCCAAGAGATACACTGGGAGGAAGGTGGCCCACTTCAGTGGGCGGTGTGCCATGCGGGTAGCTCCTGGTACTTCTCTGACAGCAAGGTGAACCGTGGAAGCAGCCCTTGCTTGCATGGTTGTGTGGTCTGCTCCGGCAGACCTGCCGTCGAAGCCTCATGGTTGAGTGCGTAAGCGATCCTACGACGCCCCGTTGAGACGAGGGAGGTCCTGTTGGGTTTTAGTAGGTAGTACTGGCTTTTCTAGCTAGTGACTCACACATAATTACCTGTTTGTAACTATACAGGTGCTATGTATAAATACATTTCCCAACATTTAAAAAAAAGGTTTAGTCATTGAGCCTTTGGTTGATTATGAGTGGTCAGTGTTTTACCCCGTGCCTCTTAGAGTACATAAAGCCGGGTCCTGTGGTGATCTCTCACCAGTCGTGTCAAATTGTCGCCTCATCGGAGGGAAAGAAGAGTGAAATAAAATCTGTTAGCCACTTCAATGTGAAGAAATAACAAACATATCATATACCATACTCACAAATTCTGCATTTATAATATGACCGTGATCGTAATAGCAAAGTAGCCACTACTAGCGTGTATAGTTTGTCGACAAATTTTAATACATAGATTTATGATATATTCAATGAAACGTTGAATGCGCATAGACTAACAGAATAATCTGGTGCATCAACTAAGAGAAGCGATGGTAGAGTAGAATTAATGTACATTTGATTTAAATTCAAGCTTATACTAACATTGCTTTTTGTACTATACGTGATCTATAATAATACTACATATAAACACATAAAAGGCAATGTCACGGCTCGTCAACACTCGTCAATTTGGATAGGATATTGATTTTACTGCAGGCGGATAAGAAAAGATTTTTCTAAATTCAACCAAAAAGGAGGTAAAGTAGGGGATTATATTACATGTTTTTTACTCGTTTTTGATGTAAAATTCATAAAATGTATTCGCTTCAAAATAAAGAAAAACGTACGTACGGCTTATTCCGAAATTCATCTCTCAATGGGGTAAAAAGGGGTGGTAAACATAATACTTTCTTAGATTTACGCGAATATTTGACATTTTAAATAAAACTATCTTTTCGGATTTTGTCGCGGATTTATTTGCATTTTTGTTTCCCGACGTTTCGAATGCTTTACAGCATCCATGGTCACGGGAGAGACTGAGGTGTTACATGTCTTGGAGGTATAGTTGTTACAGACAGCCTACCCACAATTAACAAAATGAAAATTGCACCAATTATATTACATTATTTTGTAACTTTAAACATTTTTATAATTTTAATTATAATTGAATATGGAATATTATTTATTTAATTTTTGCTATTATTTTTATAATTATTACAATTTTAAAATATTAATTAGTAATCTATATTTAGTGTTGCCATTATTATATTTATAACCATAAAGAAAAATATAAAATATAGTGTTAATTATTTAAGCCATATAATTGTTCTATGTGTAATTTAAAAAGTTAAAGTTAATTAAGGATAATTATTTTAATTTAGTTTGCTATTATTTAAAAACAACTTACTAAGCAACACTATTACTATATACTTTTACAAATGAGAAATGAAAATTATTAATCTGATAAGCTGTCATTTTGATCTACACAGTAAGAACAGCTTATCAGATTAATAATTTTTATTTCTCATTTGTAAAAGTATATAGTAATAGTGTTGCTTAGTAAGTTGTTTTTAAATAATAGCAAACTAAATTAAAATAATTATCCTTAATTAACTTTAACTTTTTAAATTACACATAGAACAATTATATGGCTTAAATAATTAACACTATATTTTATATTTTTCTTTATGGTTATAAATATAATAATGGCAACACTAAATATAGATTACTAATTAATATTTTAAAATTGTAATAATTATAAAAATAATAGCAAAAATTAAATAAATAATATTCCATATTCAATTATAATTAAAATTATAAAAATGTTTAAAGTTAAAAAATAATGTAATGTAATTGGTGCAATTTTCATTTTGTTAATTGTGGGTAGGCTGTCTGTAACAACTATACCTCCAAGATATGTAACACCTCAGTCTCTCCCGTGACCATGGATGCTGTAAAGCATTCGAAACGTCGGGAAACAAAAATGCAAATAAATCCGCGACAAAATCCGAAAAGATAGTTTTATTTAAAAAGGGGTGGTAAAATTTATACGTGGAAAAATTATGATGAGAATTACTTAGAAATTATTTTTATAATATTGTATTTTAGGTTATTCAATACAATAATTAAATTAATACGAGAATATTTCAAATTTCAACCCATAAGGAAATAAAGGGTTGGTAAAGCGCGAGCTCTTATTGATCTATTGCACGCTGTATTAACGAAACAAAAAAAACATACATAGACTTTTTTTTTAACAAAAAATCTAAACCTTTTTGTAAAGTTTTGCACTCTTGTATTTGTTACTTATGCATAATAATAAAAAACAATACTTCAACAAATGAAAACGAAGTATGTGTCACAGGGATGTTTTTGACCCCCGATGCTAGTAAACTGACAATAAGTTAGAAGAGTGAGAGTAGGTGCTCACCTAGCACCCTGAAAAACTCGGGCAAGTACCAATCTTTCGTATATCAATTTTACGTCACTTCAATTGATGAATACTTACATGTAAATAACCGCCTACAGTGAAGTACATAGTATAAGACACACAATGAGACGCTATAAAAATAATAGCGAAATTCTCCATCTTCAGGTTTTCAGATGTGAACAATTTGTAAATCTCCTCTGAATTCAACTTTTGATCGCCCTGCGTTTGTCCAGAGATTTGCTTGAGGGCTGTTATTAGTATTATTACCCATTCTCCTGAAAATATAAGAAAACTTAAATATATATTTCTTAAAACAAGTTTCAAGTTTTTTTTTTCCTTTTAGCGCATTAAATTAAAAGTTTGTTTTAAATTTTTTTTATTAATATTAATTTATTTATCATATTGTGTTGTTGACTGAAGAAGAGTTCTCTCATTTTGAGCCAACCTTCAATGCAGTAGCCAAGTTATGATAGACTTTAGAACGAGCTGTGATAATTGAATGTGTTTATAAAATTTTGTGTCTGTACTGTTAGCCGTTAAGGAGTTGCTTCGTCTGGAGCTCATACTAGATAGAGAATTAAGTTATAACTCAAAAAAAATCATTGTCATCTGAATTCAAGCAATATGTAAAATTTTTGTCATGTTAGATAAGAGGAAGTTCTAATTCAGCTTGCAAGATTTGACCCATACAAACATACCAACTAACACTGCAAGTTAAAGAAAAGCTTATAAAAAAAACTTATTAATCAAATTTATCCAGATCAAGTAAAGCTTTCTGTACTGGACCGACATAGATGACAATTTTACCTAGTTGTCAACGGCCAGATTGCAAATTTTTTATTTTTGATAAGGATTGAAGATGTAATTAATACGAACTTTGATAAGCATAGACCTAAACTTCCATCTTATTTGTAAGAAAAATTACCAAAATTATAGGAAAAGAAAACAAAAACAAACCTCTTAAAGTAGCACCAAGTGTGAACACGCCAAACGTCGCGATAAAAGTACTTATAAAATCAGGCAGTCTTTCAAAGAATTTTTCTAAGGGCTCTGCGTATCTTTCGATCCATTTTACTCCATCTACTAGAGGATCCCAGTGGTTTTGTTTAGACACTTCTGTAGTATTCTTTATTTCTTCTCCTTTCTCACCAACATCCCTTTCTCTGATCAGCATTCTGTATGTAATATTATGTGTTTCAATAAAATCGTTATCAATTCAATGCATCTAAAATATTTGCTCCTATTTATTTGATAATTGATCCTAGTTCACTTTGAAGAATTTTTTTCGTGGATATACTTCATGATACGTGCTTCATGGCATGTACATGATATACTATTTAAATGTTTTTTTCTACACTAGGTATATTTCGTATCTTTATCACACATGACTCTATATAAAAAGTTATTTCTGTGAATGATTGTGACTTATGGATCGTATCTCATCTTGTGGTTGAAATGGGTGTCTAGTAATACTATAATTTGTATAACAATACACAAAATATGGTTTTACTATTAAAGTAATATAAATTCTGAGAAAATATTATAGATGTGACTATTACTTATAAGTTATACTGATGAGTTTTATTACGATGACATTAATTGTTAAATATTTATAAATTGTGTTAATTAATATTTCAGAACATGTCAATAGGTTAAAAGTTATAATTTGGATGCTTTTGTGACCGAAACAAGGAAAAAAAACACTAGTTCGAACTTAAACTAATTAAAGATTAAGAAAGTTAAAGGACGAAGAAACTTGTTTGTATATTTTTTTTTATATACACATAAGTGATAATAAATTTAGATTAATTCGTGTAGAATTATTTTTGGTTAAATTCTACATTATTTTCACTTTCACATTTAACCTAAATATAATTATTCACTTCCATAAAAAAATTATTACATAACATAAAAATTCTTTACAAACGCTGTACCTGAATCAATATTCATTTGTAACAGCACTAAAATATAAAAACGTCTTGAGCTTTAACTGTACCATTAGCAAATAAATTACTTGACCTAAGACATCACTCGAAAAAAACTTTGATAACCCTCTTTTACGAAAATTATATAAATAAATATTATTAATAAATAAATTACTATCTCATTCCATATTCTTAACATAATTTTCGAGAGATACTAATCGTATAACTTTAAAATTTTACAAGATTTAATGATATTATATAGAAAATATAATTACAACTACAGTACGTTTTATAAAATAAAGGACAAGTGGCAGTTAGTTTCAGATACACGAGAGTAGTAGAGAGATTTGAGAAATTCGTGCTTCTGCTACATACTGCTGCTGTTAAAATGTCAACGTAGGACATGGAGTTTTATTCGAACATTATAATATGTGTTTCGTCAACAAACAAATAGTCCTATCCCATAGGATTTCCCATTGAATCCCATCAATATTTTTTTTCAAAATCCTTTCTCTGTAAACCTTCTCTATATAATAAACTCTTGTAATATTTCATCTCCTAAATCCAACGATATCATCTGAGCGTTGTCTGTATTATTATATTCTTATTACATTTATTAAGAAGATAAGTAATAATAATGTTTTAAAAGTTTACAAATTTATCATATTCAATTCATTTTATATAACCGGTTCATATCTACAGGTTTTGTTATTGTTACATACTCCGTCAGAGCTGATAAAGTCGTGTTCTTTCGTCGCTTTTACCAGATTTATAATGGCAATGGCCTCTTACATAGATATTATGTACTATTTCTGAAATTTTATTTTAGCTTAACTGAACAACAAAAAAATATTTAAGGAGCAACACAACCGTAGATAAAGACAAAATCAGCCAACCAAAATTTTGTAAAGGAAATAAATAATAATAATAAATAAATATGTTGGGACATTAACACACAGCACCATCTAGTTCCATGGTAAGCTACGAGGCTTGTGTTATGGATACCGGATAATTGGTACATATATAACATTAAATACATACATATTATAAATATAAATATACATGACTGGAATACAAACATTCGTATTCATAACACAATTGAAAGCCTCCAGCGGGATTCGAACCTGCGACCGCTGGCACAGCAAGTAGGGTCACTACAAACTCCAAACAAAAGACAAACGTGTCACCGAAAGTTAATCTATTAGTTTATCTATGAAATATAATAGATACCTATAATTCAGAAGCCAATATATAAACAAATTCTGAATATCTCTGAGTCTTAAACAAAACTATCTCTTCAGATTATTTCGCGGATTTATTTTGATTTTTGGTTCCCGACGTTTCGACTGCTTTGCATCAATCACGGTCACGGGAGAGACTAAGGTTATAGACGTCTCAAACATAAACCTGTTACAGACAGTGTCTACCCACTATTTTACAAAAATGATTTCAAAAATTCAAAACTGGCAATAAAGTACCTTACAATATTTGTTGATTTTTATCTCTAAACATTTAAAAAATTGAGAAACGTCGGGAACCAAAAATATAAATAAATCCGCGAATATCCGAAAAGACAGTTAAAAAGTAGATCGATTATTTAAAACTAGCATTGCCTGCGGCTCCAAAAAACCACCAAAAACCAAATTCTTAGGTTTTACATATTAATATACTCTTACATTGCAGTTTTTGTATTTTTTCTCAGAAATGAGACATTTTCCCGCGGTAAAAAGTATCCTATATGTTGACCTGGATAACCAGCTATCACTCATCAAAATCTCTCAAGTGGTTTTTCTGTAATGCGGTAACAGACAGACAACGGCTGAACGAATCTGGATGAAATTCGACACAGAGGTAGATTACAGTCTGGATAGCACATAGATTACGTTTTATCCCGGAAAATTTCCCGTGGGAAATCAATGCTAAGCGTTGAAACGTACCCGAGCGAAGCAAGGGTGAGTATCAGTTAATAATTAATTTTATTGTTAACTAATTAGTTTATTAACCGTTGACTCACCTTCATGGCGATGTTTTCAACTTACAAGGTATGCTGAATGCAGATGCCTTATCGCGACTGGATTTACTTGACGTGCTAATATTCTGTTATTGATAGATAATTAACTGAAGTATGATGTTATGTTGTCCTGGTGCTGGTATAATAAAAGAAGAGAAGTAGAAAGAAACGGAATTCTTTTGTATTCTCTACCCGTCTCCTCGAAGACTACTTACTTGATGGTCTCATGGTATACTCCTGGAAAAAAACATTTAAATATAATGGACTTTCAAACAAAAGTTTGATAAAAGTTACAAAAAAAGGTTTTGTTTATTTTAAAATGTTGAATAGGTATATATTATATTGTTTACACGCCTTTTATGAAAATTTTATGATATTGCTATCACGGTAATGTAATATGTAATATTACCGTGTTGCTATTTTGCTGCTGATAAATAGGTAAGTATTTAATTTTAATAGGTGTTATGTTTTGCACACGATTTTATTTTTCAATTGAAAAAGCAACAGCTTTATTTTTGCAATTTTATAAACATTTATATAAAAAAAGGTTAATCTAAACTAATTCTTGTATTTTTTTACTAACGATTTAATACTTACCTATTTTGTTCACTAGTTTTTGAGTTTATACGTCACGAACATACAAAAATACACATCTTTCCTCTTTATAATAGTACTAGCGGCTCACCCTCGCTTCGCTCGGGTTCACCTCTAGAAAGGCACAAACAGATCTATCCCACGGAAACCGTTCATTTTTCCGTGATGAAAAGTAACCTGTTGTTTGACCGGCAATATAAGGTATCAGCATGCCAAATTTTACTAAATTAGGTGCGTAAGTTGTTGTGTACTAAGCTGTATAAGTTACTATAGTTTTTTGACTATACCACGGAAACTGTTTAATTTTCTGGAATGAAAATAAACTTAGATGTTGACCGGGGATATAAGGTACTACCATGCAAAATTTTATTTAAATTGCTTAAACAGTTTCGGAGATTAGCCTGTACAAACAGAAAAACAGACAAACAGCTCGCTCGGGTTCGAACATACATACGAATATGTTGTATTATCTCTTTAACCATTTGTCCAAATTATATGCAGTAAAAGGAAAAAGTCTTTTGTTTTAAATATTTCAGACGATAAATTTACTTATTTTGATAAGAATTCATAATTGTTGATAATATGAGCAATAAACATGACCTACCGATTTAAATTATTTTTTTAATATAAAAAACTACTTTTTGTGACTTAAATAGAAATGTTAGACATATGCTGTCGCTGACTTTTTTGTAGGCATTATTAAGCTCTACAACTTTTCTCTAGAACATAATCATATATCTCTCATCGTTAAGGCAGCGTTCGTAAGAAACGTTTTCGTTTGACCGTTTTTTCTCCGACTTACTTTGCAAATCCGATTACCACGAAAAAGCCTTTTCATTCTTCGGGTTAATATATAGCCTATGACACTCAGAAAGAACGTGGCTTTCTATTGGTAAAAGAATTTTGAAAATCGGTTCAGTAGATCCAGAGATTACCCCCTACAACGTCACAAACTCACAAACTCACAAACCCACAAACTCACAAACTCACAAGATCACAAACTTTACCTCTTTATAATATTAGTATAGAAGTATTAGATAGTGTAGATGACTTATTATTTCTATACACTGCCCTCTGCTAGAAACTAAATAAATCTTTACACATCATTGTTTGCGTAGTACGGAGATTGCGTAATAGATGGCGATTATATTATATGAATATCACAAGTAGATTTACAGTATTATTTTAAAAATGTCTTTGTAGTTATTTAGCATTATATTTTACTTATAAAAATCACTGCTGTAATAGAAATTATATATTGTAATAATTATCACAATAAATTTAACTTTTAAATTTTATTTATCATTGTTAATATTTGTCAGTACCGCCATCTAGCAGCAAGACTGTTAACTAAATAAAAAGGTACATTCTTTGTAGTATATAGAATACGTAATAGATGTCGCTGTAATTTTTTTTATTAATAATCAACTGTGTATAAGATTTTAAACAAATTAAAAGTACTAATGTTTACGAAAACGTAAAGAGTAACAAAATAAAAAAAGTGTTTGTATACTTATTAACGCACGTGGAAAGTTATATATATAAGGTTTTTAGAGTATTTAAATTTTTTTTAATGATTTTGACTTTTTTTTTCTTTTCTGTATTATTCTCAGTAAAACCTTTCATTTGATATCCATATCATGG